AATTAAATGGCTCAAAGGCATTTTTTTCCCTGCTTTACAATTTGGCCATCTTTTCCCCTCATGCAGTAAAAACCTCCAATAGTTTGGATTTATGAGCCTTTGGACAGGGACTGGGCTCCAGTCAGCTTCTGGAGTATTCTGCATGGAAAGGATTTTTGAAGAAAATTAATAGCTTGCCAAACAAATAGCAAAGGGAAGGCACACTCTACTTCAGGGAGGGCTGCTGCTCTAGCCCTTAACAAACACTCACGCGTCCGCAAACAATTCATATGCTAATTCCTAATGATTTTTACATGTTCATTAAGTCCCTGGCTATGGCTATTTATCGATATGATTATTATGGTTTGAGCTGCTTCAAAGGCTAGGTTTTCGCTGATCCAGGAACTTCTTAGGTACAAACTTTTTGAGGCTGAACGATTAACAAAGGAATTAAAGGAAAGCCTAACAACGTGACTCTCCTTCTTTGTGGGTGTAAGAGAGAGGTCTCCCTGTAGGCAGTTGATCTTATTGACTCTTGGGGAGGGAGGGAAGGGGGGGTTCCTGCCAGGTCCTAGAGGGTGAGGTTTGATTGTGCTGAATCTTGTTTTGGTTTTCTTATGCTCATCCCTGTTAGAATTTCCATTCTAAACAGTTACTCCACATTCCTGCCTCCCTCCCTCTCTCCCTCTCTCCCTCTCTCCCTCTCTCCCGCCCCTCCCCCTCTTCCTTTCCCTCTGCTCTACTTGGCTTCAGCTGTCAACTTGACACATCCCAGAGCCACCTGGGAAGAGGCAGTCTCAATTTAGGAACTGCCTCCATTAGATTGGCCTGTAGGCAAGACCCGTGGGTTTTCTTGATTAATGATTGGTAAGGAAGGGTACAGACTACTATGGGTGGGGGCCATCTCTGGGCAGGTGGTCCTGGGTTCTAGAAGAAAGCAGGCTGAGCAAGTCATAAGGAGCAAGCCAGTAAGCAGCACCCCTCCATGACCTCTGCATCAGTTCCTGCCTCCAGGTTCCTGGGTTGAGTTCCTGCCCTGACTTCTTCCCTCAGGGATGGAGTGTGACTTGGGAGTATAAGAGGAAACACACCCTCTCCCCCAATGTCGCCTATGGTCAGTGTTTTATAACCGCAACAGGGAGCAAATTAAAATGTCCCTTTTCTGTCTCCTCCTCTTGGTTTCTTTCTTACTTTTCCTTCCTTTCTCCCCACTCCCTCCCTCGGGGTCTCACCCAGGTTGGTGGTGAACTCACAAATCCTCCTGCTTCAGTGACCTGAGTGCTGGCACTGCAGGTGTCCACCACTAAGCCTGGGTTTCCTATTTTGTTCTTAAAGAATTATTGATGTGAACTATAAATTATTTAATTGCTATAGATTTGATAAAAACCTGGAATGAGATTACGGTATTTAAAAAGGGGGGCGGGAGGGTTAAGCCTGCCAATCCCCATGTCTTCTATACAAACCAAAGGCTGTTCTATAAGGTGTTTACGGATCACTTCGGAACCCAGATACTACTTCCCTGTGCCCCACCCCCAACTCAGCAGCCAGAGAGGAAAAGAGTGAACCTTCCATGCTGGTTAATCTCAGTTGTCAATTTAACGAGAGCTAGCATCACCAGAAGGTGTGCCTCTGGGCATGCCCATGGGAAATGATCTTGATTAGGTTAATGGAAGTGGGAAAACCACCACTGTGGGTGACACCATTCCCTAGGTTGCTGCTCTAGCAGGGAATGGCTGAGCCTGGGTGTTATCACTTTGTTCCTGCCTATGGATTCCATATGATCAGTTGTCTAAAGCCCCCACCCTGCTGGGTTCCCCACCATGTTATCCTAAACCCTTGAACTATGAGCTGAAATAAACCCTTTCTCCCTTGAGTTGCTTTTGGAGTTTATTTTATCCCAGTAACAGGAAGAAATACTAAGCCACTTATGTGGAGGGGGAAACTATGGGTCATGCCTACTCAACCTCATATGTATTCCTTTCACCTCAATTTAGTAGCCCGTCCAGAGCTGAACTTTCATGACGTCAGTTGTTTGCATTGTTTGAGGGAGAAAAGAAACAGAACTGGAGACTTTGCGTTTCCCTTTAGGCACCGTGAGCTTCCTTACAGGACAAAGGTCTATGGAGCAAACATCGTGTGCCACACATGGCAGATTTTGACCTGGCTCAGTCCTCACACAGGCGGAGGCAGTGATAGGTACAGATTCTATTTTCACACCCGGTGAGGTAAAGGCTCTAGTTCAGCATCCCAGGTTGTCTGACGCTCCCATCGGCACTTAAGCAACCACTACAGTATATGGCATCTCACTGTGCTCTGCCTGACATTTGAGTCAGACATCTGCTGGAAATTTGATAACATGATAAAACTCTTGCCTCATCAAGAATGCTTCACATGGGGGGGGGGCGTGGAGGAGAAGGGAGGAGCTGGGGAGAGAGGGGTTTCTGCTTAGAAAGCAATTGTCTGTCATAATGCACGTTGCTGTGCAATCAACAACTTAAAATGCACACCTCAGTCCTGGCGCTAAATTATCTTCAGCCATAGACTTAAGATATCCTGGGGAGGCTCATCCAGGGGAGGGCCCCTCGTCTACAATCAAATATTAAGTGTGTAACCAACAGGATTGGCTAGTAGTTCACCCACGCCTCCCCCATCTTCCCACAGGCATGGATTGTGCCGATCTTCTGACTGAGCCGGGCGGGCTTGGCTCAAACAGCTAAACATTTCTAATGAGAACAAGTCTGGAGCTTGTCTCAGAAGGAGTCACCAAGGCTCCGCTGAAGCTCTGCGGCATCTTTCTCTTTCTTCCTCCTAAGAGCTCGGCTCTGGAAATGGATGACATGTCTACCCTCCGGTGACACAGGACACTGGAAGGGAACCGGAACTGACCATCACTGCAGGCAGCTGATGTCGGTGAGAATGGGGGATGATTCAGGTCTTACGGTTAGTCTGTTGAAACAAAACCAAGCCCAGGCCTTTCTGGGGACTTGGATATAAATGCTCCCTGCAATCTCTACCTGAAATGTGTTCTACGGAGAGGAGCCCCTAATCATAGAAGTAGTCTTGTCAATTATTAGTCAAGAGCCTATAGAACTCTGGCATAAACTTCAAGGGTGTTGTCCAGGGGAATAGAAACCCAGGACATTAAAACACATCAAGGGTGAGAAAATACTGGGGGTATACGAAACTCTTGTAAAAGTCACACACAGATTAAATTAAAATGAATAAAAGCTGTAGGACTAGGCTATCCCTCAGTCAATTCATACTACGGAAGCTCTTGGCAAGAAAATGGTATGTTGGTAAAATCAGACAGACAGACAGATAGACAGACAGACAGGGAGGCAGAACCATGAAGGTCCCAAGTGTGGTAATATCAGGGACACTTTTCTAAATTAAAACAGCATCAAGAACCTGCTTTCCTCCCCCAATGTACTCCTAAAATAGACAAGACTGTGGACCAAATACTTCTGTCGCCAGACGAATTCCCCTGGTTCCTCTAGCAAGTCCGTTTTCTCCGGCCAGTGCAGCTCTGGTGTGCTAACACTGGAAGCAGGAAGGTGAAGCCGGTGGCAGAGGACCAGGAGGATAAAAGCGCTGACGTCAAACTCTCTACAAAGAACCTCTGAGCAAGCAGACGCACACCAGCTTTAATGACATTTGATGTCATTGTCCCCCCCCCCCACACACACACACCTCTCCAGCCCATATCAGCGGGCTTCCCCCTTCTCCAGTGCATAAGCTGGCCTCTGCTCACAGGCTCTACATTCTGCTGGTCCTCCCTGCTTCCGGTCCATGCGTTCCCCGCATAGGATGCTCCATTTGTCTAAAGACCTGTTTGAGCCTCAGTCAGAACAAAGAAAAGTTCCTGGGTGTGGGTGTGAGTTTGCTCTTTTCAGATTTTTTTTTCCCTCCAGTCAACCTTTGTCGTCGTCTGCACACTTGCTGGAAAGTCAGACTTAGTTGCTCTAGACCGGGCATTCTGTCAGCGACTCTTTCCCAGACATGTTTTCAATCTATTCCCCAATGCAGCCTGCCAGGATTAATCAATCCTGCCTGTGGTCCCCCCAGATTCACTTCTTTCTTTAACTCACAGAACCGCTCAGCCAGGAGCACCAAGAGATGGGTTTTCATACAGCCTTGATTTTTCCTGACAGAGGGCACAGCCTTCATCTCAGACTCCTCTAAATCTAACAAGCTAAGAAAACATTGGGTTTTTCTCTGCCACGGAAGGCTCCTGTGTCCCCCCCCCCCACAACCTCCTCCTCACCCTGCACCCTGTTCTCTTCTTCTCCTGCATTTTATTTCTTCCCTTATTCTCCCCCTGGCCATTTTTTTTCTTTACCAACATCCCAGGACCACAACTCATCCCAAAGTTCAAAGTCACCAGATTCTTAAAAAATAAAATAAATAAAACTTCTACAATTACCTTCACGCTGACTTTGAGCTCAGAGTCTTGGTTTTGGATGCTGGAGAGGAAAAAAATTCAACACCAGCAGCAGCAGCAGCCTCAGCTGAGCCTGGAGGAGGGTGCTGTTTGGAGTGTATTTGGAGGAATAGCATATGGGCTTTTGTCAGAGCCCACTAGTTTCTGAGCTGAGGGTTAAAATACACTCTCTGAACACTGAGCTGAGTTCCTGTTTTGTACAGCACCCCTCGCCCCACACTGCAAATCCACCACTGCTTTGCACCCCCTGACCTATGAGCTTGGCGATAGCTAGAAAACTTTTCAGTCAAGTCCATACCCGAGCCACACCGCCCACCCTAAGAAAGCAAAGGGGTTTTGCTTAGGAGGTGTGGAGTCTGTGGGAGTGTAGTTCCCCGCCAAAGAATTCTTGTCCCTTTTCAACAGCCTCTTCCTTACCCAAGCGAATATTTCCCATGTTCCAGCGTGAGATACCGGGTATGACGGACCTAGTCCAGGCACCCTGGCCCAGCTGCCTGCGTCCACCTGTCAAGATTCTGGGGCGCAGGCAAGAAAAGGGGGGACCTTCCAGTTGTCCCCAACTCAAGAACGAGGTCATTACCTTGGCAGTGGCTTTCGGGCTGTGATACTGGCAACGATGATGCTCTCGGGACGTGGAGTGGCCACCGCTTTGAAGGTCCCTTTCCAGAACTTCTCAAACAGCTGTTTCTCGCCCTGCTGCAGGCTCGCCATCCCGAAAAGCCCAAGGAGTCCCGGAGACCGGGGCGCTGTCCGAAGTGCTGAAATGTGGATTCCAAACCCGTTGACACGCCCTGGGTTCCCCGGGGCGCTGTCCGCGCGAAACCCCAAGGGGTGGGGTGGGAAGAGATCAGAGTTCTGGGCGGGGGATGGGATAGAATGGGACGGAGGTCTCGGGCTGGCCAGGCAGCGGAGATTGAAGGTGGTCCCTCGGCTGGGTTCACCTCCTGGCTTGGCTCTGAGCAGCGCTGGGAGCCGCCGGCTGAGCTCCGCGTCCTCAGCAAAGCAGAGCTGGGCCGGCTTTCTCTACCGCGCAGAGAACAGAGAGGAGGCGACCGGGGCGTCTGCCGTGCGTGCGCGTGTGAGCTCCAGCGCGCCCGGGTTTTGTCTCTTGCACAATGTGACGTTGGAAGAGGAGGCTGGTCGCGCGAGCTGTACTTTCCTCCCTCCCCTTCGCGGTCTCCTCCTTCCCCAGCAACCCCTCCTTCTGTGGCTCAGCCTCCCGCCGCCATCTGCATAACAAAAGCCCGCAGGTCTAGGGAGGAGAAAGGGCGGGGCGTGCGCTTGTCTCCAAGGCCGGGTGGCCACTGAGTTGCTATTCTGACCCCTCTGAGAAGAGACCCAAGCACCCGGAACAGAACCAAGCTGGAGAGCCTCAGGCCCAGCCCTCACCCCTCCTCCGTCGTCGCAGGCCTTCCCCTCAACCCTTACATGCGCACTCCCGGGGCTGGGCCACCTCCCTATCCCTTTGCAAGACTCGGAGCGCATCTTCCATTGAGGGAGCTAGTAAAAACAGCCCCACCTATCCGCCCACGCCAACCTGCCTTCAACCTTCCCCACTTCTGGGAAGGACTGCTGAGCTCTGCAAAGTGGGGGTGCCCCTATGTTCCTCTTTATGCCTGGGGGCCGTGGGCTCCCCGCGTCCCCCATCCAGAAAATGCCATTTGATGGACAATCCGTCGCCAGCGCGGTTCCTCGCCATCTGTCGAGCCGGCCCCCACCCGCAGAGGGTCGCAGCGTCACATCTGTGCCTGCGGCGCTGTTAAAGGATATCTCTTTTGTGCCTTGCAGCGGGGCCTGCCTCGCGTCCTCGCTGCCAAAGCCCGCACCCCTCCCCCACCCCTCCACCCCACCCCCTGAGAACCCGCAGCTTGTGTGTGGAGCAGCAGTCCGATTTGGCAAAGAAAGCACTGGCGTGGGGATGGGGGTGGGGGGGTGTTTGAGGGTTACAAGGAGTTAGTAACTTTTTGGTTTTCCATCTTCTGCCCCCCCCACCCCGCCCCAATCCCAGCAGAGGCTCAGAATCTTAAACTCCAGAAACACAGGATGTAGACAACAATGTCTCTCGTTTTACCGTAGGGTTCTCCCGGGGGGAACATTTCCCTGTGGGATCCTCCAGCCCATTTCTCCCTTTGGAGCCTTGGTAACCACTTTCGCCTACCTCCAGAGTTTGAAACTCCTAGAAGGAACCTTCACTAAGTCTTAAGGACCTCCAAACACTGACACCAGGTCTCACCCCGAAGAGGGGGAGAAAAAAAAATCTTTTATTCTTGTAGACCTGGTAGCAGTGTGGACCGAAGCCCCCAACATCAGTATGGACTTTGTACATTCTTTGCAAGAGAATAGGAAGTACACGGAGGTGTAAAAGATGAAGAGGAGAGAGAACAGGATAGGGCAAGAAAAACCAGAACAGGGGAATAAAGGAGCTAGCATTGGTCCGGAAAAGGCTAACAGGATGGGGTTTTTTTGTGCGATGGATGGATGGCTGTGTACTGGTTTAGGAGTGCCTGGGGCTCTGCTTGCTCCGCAGTGACCCCTTCTGGTCAATAACTAGAAGTGCATCTGTTGGCTTTAAAGGGGGTAGAGGGGCCAGGAGTTGAGACAGGCTTGGGATTGGGAGAGTTGAGGATACAGAAAAGAATGTTGGGGAGTAGACTCTTCACTTCCCTCTCCCTGATCCGCTGTATTCAAATTCCCCACTCTTAGACTGCTTTTAGGGCCTATTGCCCTTCCTTGGGTTGCTGTCCCTCCTTAGCCTTGGATATTTAAAGAGATCCTTAGTCATGACATTTGGGTATGAACTGAGTCACTTTTGGCAATCAGAGGTAGATGGGACCTTACTTACACCAATCAACCTTTCAGAGGTGTGCCTGCCCTTTAATAAAAAGGATTTATTTTACCTTTAGTGTGGAGGTGTGTAGTGGATGCCACATGTGTGGGTGTTTCAGTGAAGTCAGAAAATGGTGCCTGATTTATCCAGGGCTAGTGTTAAAGGTGGTCACAATGTGGGTTCTGGGATTTGAACCCTGGTCCTCAGGAAAAGCAGCAAGCACTCTTAACCATGGAGCCACCCCTCCAACTCAACTATGGCTGTTCTTCTTCCCTGGTATTATGGAAAAAGTGCCCAGCTGTGTTTCCTTGCCTCTTTGGAAACCCAGAACAACCAGGTGAGGTGGAAGAGAAAGCTTTTCTTACTTGTGTAAGGATGAGGAAGTGGATGTTGAAGATGGCCATGTGGTGTGCCCATGGGCCTCTCATAGAATAATGGGACTGGGGGGGGGGGGAACAGTGATTGGCTATGGGAGCGAATTCTGGGGACAGTCGGCATCCCAGACTGGAACTATACAGTCTACCGGATACCAGTGATCCTAGTGCTTAGAAGCACACAGTGGTGTCTGAGTGCTGTGGTTGCCTCTCACAAGACAGGGCTTGGAACCCAGACTTGGAAGCAGTCTCAGCCCTGCCCTTTCTAGTTGGATGAGCTTGAAGGAGTGACCTCAACTGTTGTATGAGTTGTCTTGCTACTGCGACCAAATCCCCAGCAAGATGCAAACAAAGGGAGGAAGTCTTGATCTGGCTGGCGCTTGGCACCCACCACAGTGGGGGAAAGCCTGGCAGCTCCTGTGAGGCAGCTGGTCCTGTTCCATCATAGTCAGAAGCAAAGGGAGAGAAAGGCTGCTGCCGCTCACCATTCATTCATTCATTTATTTATTCATTCATTTATAAATTTTTTTCTCCAAAGTCTGAGACTGCAGGTCCTTGGGACAATTCCATCCATACCCAAGAGGAGTCTTCCTTCTGCCATTCAGCCTTCTGGAGATACCTTTATAGACAGAGAGGCGTGTCTCCATAGTGCTTCAAGTCCGGTCAAGTACCCAGGGTAGAACCATCCTTCCTGCCAGACCTTCCGTTTCAATGTCTTCCGTGAGAACCCATTACCACCAGACCAGTCTTACACAAAATTCTACAGAGACTGAATATTTTGGGTTTAAACAGACTGCCTGTGAGGATTAACAGAATCATCATGGTATACGGGTTACAAAGCAGTCTGGGAAATAGTTTAGTAAAGAAAATCCATTGTTGTGAAAGGCTAAAAGCATAGCCTCTGAGATCAGATGGAGCTGGGCATGAAGCTCAGCTCTGCCACTTTTTAACTGGATGGCCTCAGGGGAGGAACTAAATCCTGCCTCGGTCTCTCTACCCGAGAAATGGAGACATGAATGCATATTTCACATGACCGTTGTGAGGGTTAAATCCATCATGTCTCACGGGGGACTTAGCTCAGGGTCTAGTTCATTATAAATGTCCATCCTATGTCTAATGGTGTTGACGCCACTGCCCGGTCACTCCGGTCCAGTCATCATGAACTGCCTGCTCTTGGATCTTGGTTGACACAACCCTGGATACAGAGGGTCCACAGAGAAGACATATGCCATTTTCTGAAGGACTTCACAGCCCAACTCATCCTCTGCCCTCATTGCCTACGTGTGTTTCTTCTATTTTGTCACATGGACTTAAACATGTGGGCTGGCTTCTCTAATATGACTCAAACTCCGCTCCTCTGTCATTTTATACAGTAAAGCCATCTCTGCCCAACTCTGTTTCCTTCGAAGGGCGCCACTCTCTGTGTCCCCAGGGGCCAATGAGCCACCCCAGGAGCTGAGACATATCCATGGGTTAGTTAGTGAATACACAGGCGTGGCCCAATGGTCTTTTTTTTTTTTTTTTTTTTTTTTTCCCCGGAGCTGAGGACCGAACCCACGGCCTTGTGCTTGCTAGGCAAGTGCTCTACCACTGAGCTAAATCCCCAACCCCACAACCGGTCTTTATCCTCTGCCTTCTGCCACTGGAAGGCATTGCTAATTCTGATGCAAACTCCCTCCCGGGGCCAGACTTCAGAATCCTCCCCAGTACCAACATCTAGACAGACATTCCTGGGGACTTCATGCTGGCACCATAGTAAAAACCAACTTCCACCCACTCCTAGAGGGTGCTTTCTGTACCTAATGGTGCTGTGGATATTGCTCTATATAAATAAAACACTGATGGCCAGTGACCAGGTAGGAAGTAGGTTGCCAGGTAGGAAGTAGGTAGGACAAGGAGAGAGGAGGATTCTGGGAAGCAGAAGGCTGAGGAGGGAGACACTGCAGCCACTGCCAGGACAAGCAGCATGTGAAGATGTCGGTAAGCCACCAGCCACGTGGCAAGGTATAGATTTATAAAAATGGGTTAATTTAAGATATAAGAACAGTTAGGAAGAAGTCTGCCACGGCCATA